TTATTCTGCAGGCCTCTGGGTACCGTACATCCTTCACGCTGTTCAAGAGGGACAGAGAGATGACCTTGGAGAAGAGACCATTAGCAAAACGTGAGCCAAGGCTGGAGCAGACAAGACACCGTGAGAAAAAAAAACAACAACAAAAAACTCAAAAATATAAGCTCTGTTTTCACTTCTCTTTGCAAGAGAGAAAAGAAAGGGAAATGTAGCCGGGTTTTTTCAAGATCGACGTTAGTCCCTCAAGTAGGCTAGGTCAGGAAACAAGACATCAAAACACATTCTAGAAGTCCTCTTCATTGATAGAGGTTATGCTAACAGATCCTTCAAAGCTGGGCTGTGTTTCATCCTTCCTTTTTACACCAGCAAGAGTCAAGCCTTCTCCAAGGTTATCTCGGCGCTCTAAACACACCTGGGTAACTGCTTCCTTACGGCTAATGGTAAGGCCCACCTCTGCTCATGAGTAATAATACACTTATCTCCTTGGCCTTTTCTTTTCCGGAGGCAACTGAGCGAGAACCGTCACCATAATCTCCTACAGCATTGGAAGTTAATTAGATATGGTGCTGTAGTAGGCAAACAAAAGGAGGACTTGATAAGAGGATAGGAACAGGGGGCTCCGGTCCACCAAGGGGGCAAGGAACAATGGATGGAAACTGACCAAGGAGAGGTTCAACCTGGAAAGAAGGAGAAACTTTCTGGCCGTCAGAACCATCAACCGATGGAACAGAAGTTGCCTTCAGAAGTGGGATACGGGTAGGGAACAGTACATATTAAACCAGCTCCCCCCCTCCTCAAAATCAAACTGGACGCATTTAAGAATGAATGGAATTGACTAGAGCGAATTCTCTTAACCGTTCAAGCCAGGTTATAAGAAAGTGCCAAGGGGACCATGGAAAGGAACATTCTTTTGGCCAGTCTGGCTTGATTCATGAGCTGGCAATCCAAATTATAAATCTTTTCCAGAGTTTTTACGGATTAACAGAGTTGGAAGGGACCTTGTAGGTCATCTAGTCCAAACCCCCCACCCAAGCAGGAGACCCTACACCATTTCTGACAGATGGCAGTCCAGTCTCTTCTTGAAAGCTTCCAGGGATGAAGCTCCCACAACTTCTGAAGGCAACTTCTGTTCCATTGGTTGATTGTTCTCACTGTCAGAAAGTTTTCTCCTTATTTCCAGGTTGAATATCTCTCCTTGTTCAGTTTCCATCCATTATTCCTTGTCTGGCCTTCGGGTGCTTTGGAGAATAGCTTGGCCCCCTCCTCTCTGTGGCAGCCCCTCAAATATTGGAAGACTGCTATCCTGTCTTCCTTGGTCCTTCTCTTCACTAGACTAGCCAGGCCCAGTTCCTGCAACTGTTCATCGTATGTTTCATCCTCCAGCTCCCTAATTTATTTATTTATTTATTTGATTTGATTTGATTTCTATACGCCCTACTCCCGAAGGAATCATCCTGGTTGCTCTTCTCTGCACCATTTCCAGAATTTTTTTATAGTATGTTATAATCTTTTTTGGCTTCTGCGTCCCCTGCATAGTCGCTGCTCTGGATGAATAGGCTAACTATCCAGATCAAAATGAATTGTGAACTCAACAGAGAGCTGGGCAGACTTCTATACTGTCTGTAAAGGTAAAGGTTCCCCTTGCACATATGTGCTAGTTGTTCCCGACTCTAGGGGGCGGTGCTCATCTCTGTTTCAAAGCCGAAGAGCCAGCGCTGTCCGAAGACGTCTCCGTGGTCATGTGGCCAGCATGACTCAACCCAAAGGCGCACGGAACGCTGCTCCCTTCCCACCAAAGTTGGTCCCTATTTTTCTACTTGCATTTTTTACGTGCTTTCGAACTGCTAGGTTGGCAGAAGCTGGGACAAGTCATGGGAGCTCACCCCGTTATGCGGCATTAGGGATTCGAACTGCTGGACTGCCGACCTTTCGATCGACAAGCTCAGCGTCTTAGCCCTGAGCCACCACTGTCTATATAAGCAGTTAAAAAACCAGAATTAAGAAATTTTAAGAATTTAGAACCGTAGAATTAAGATAAAAGGCAGAAGAGAGGCTTCGGGGTGCTAAGCGGCCCTGTGGTTGGGTTCTCCTCTGTGGAGCTCAGGTAAATCGGCACCTGCTCGACTCAGGTGTTCACTTGTTACCTTTGAAATGGGGGCAGGAAATAAATCTCTTAGAAAAAAAAGGAAAAATAAATATTTGGGCACGCTGGGAACGGAGAGGCGGCTGGAAGTTTGTCAGCAGGCAAGCGCTGCCTTCCTCCAAAGATACACCTGCTTATCTTACCTTTCTTATCTTACCCGGAGCACCACAAAAACACCCATCTGCGCTCTCTCCCAAGGTTGGAAGGAGACAACTTGCCACAGCCAATTCCCCACAGTCAATTCCCCACGTCCAACTCACAAATCTCCTGATCACCAAACTTAACAAATTTTGTAAGAAGCTGTGGCCTTCCTGGCTCTCGCGTAACAGGAGTACAATTCAAAAAATATCTTAAAAAATAGGTAAAGGTAAAGGTTCCCCTCGCACATATGTGCTAGTCGTTCCCGACTCTAGGGGGCGGTGCTCATCTCCGTTTCAAAGCCGAAGAGCCAGCACTGTCTGAAGACGTCTCCGTGGTCATGTGGCCGGCATGACTCAACGCCAAAGGCGCACGGAAATGCTGTTCCCTTCCCACCAAAAGTGGTACCTATTTTTCTACTTGCATTTTTTGCATGCTTTCGAACTGCTAGGTTGGCAGAAGCTGGGACAAGTAACGGGAGCTCACCCCGTTATGCGGCGCTAGGGATTCGAACCGCTGAACTGCCGACCTTTCGATCGACAAGCTCAGCATCTTAGCCACTGAGCCACCGGATCCCTTATATTAAAAAAATAGCACTGACATGTTGCATGGATGCAAGGAAGCTCAGTTGCAATAAACCAAGACCCTTAGCTCTTCGCTTGCCAGCTCCGGAATATTTACTCCAGCGCTAATGCAGTTTGCGTCAGGGTGCACGGCTGTTAAACAGTCTTCCCGCAGCCTGAAGTCCGGGCGGGCCCAGCAGGCTGCAACCCGGCACCTGCGACACATTTGCAGTTTTATCAAGTGTCCAATTAAAAGACACTCACGCCGAAGGGGGGAAAAAAAACAAACAGCTGTGTCCGGAGAGAGTGGAATGGTGGGCTTGTCCAGAATTGTTTCTCACGCTCTCTCAGCACCGTACAATTTTCCCGCTTCCTATCCCAAGAGCATCTCTTCCTTTGGACCGGTTTTCGGCAAATTTGACGTCTTGAGATGATCGACAGGCACTGAAGAGAAGAGGGCCCCACTTTTGAGTGGCCCCGAGTTGTGTTTCATTACTTTGTCTAAAGTTATCTACTCGCTAGGATAGGAGAATGAGAGCGGATGTTAACACTCCTTCTAGCACTGATGAAGTTACCTAGTGGGGTAATGAAATGTCTGCAAGAAAACAACCAAGCTCAGAGAGCACCAAGGACCCCATAGTCATTCTCCTCCCCTTCTATCCTGAAACCCCCTCCTCAGATAAAGAAATATCTGACACCCCAAGGATACACATATAGGACCACTATAGTTTAGCTGTGGAAAGAATCAGTTCAGCATTTGCAATTTAGATGTTTTTATACATGAAATGCCCTTAGGAATCAAAATAGGAAGGAAGGAAGGAAGGAAGGAAGGAAGGAAGGAAGGAAGGAAGGAAGGAAGGAAGGAAGGAAGGAAGGAAGGAAGGAAAGAGAGACAGGAAGGAAGACAGGGAGGGAAGAAGGAAAGAGGAGGGAGGGAGGAGAAGTAGGGCAGGAAGAAAGAAAAGGAGAGGGAGGAAGAAAAGAGAGACAGGAAGGAAGGGAAGGAGAAAGGAAGGAAAAGAAGAAGAAAAGGAGAGAGAGGGAGGAGGAAGAAAAGAGACAGGAAGGAAGGAAGGAGGAAGGAAGGAAGGAGGGAGAGGGAGGAAGAGAGGGAGGGAAGAAGGAAAGAGGAGGGAGGGAGGAGAGGTAGGAAGGAAGATAGAAAAGAAAAGAGAGGGAGGGAGGGAGGAAGAAAAGAGAGACAGGAAGAAAGGGAAGGAGAAAGGAAGGAAGGAAGAAAAGGAGAGGGAAGGAGGGAGAAAAAGAGACAGGAAGAAGGAAGGAGGGAAAGGGAGGAAGAAAGAGAGACAGGAGGGAGGGAGGAAGGGAGGAAAGAGGAGGGAGGGAGAGAGGTAGGAAGGAAAGAAAATAGGAAGGAAGGAGGGGGAGGGAGAAAAGAGACAGGAAGGGAGGGAGGGAGGAAGGAAAGAGGAGGGAGGGAGAAGAGGTAGGAAGGAAAGAAAAAAGGAAGGAAGGAAGGAAAGGAAGGAAGAGAGGGAGGGACGGAGGCAAGTAGGAAAGGAAAGCAAACATTTGACCCCAAATCCCAAATCTAGTGGGGTTGACAGCAGGCCACCAGATCCCAAAAAGTCAAGATGGCCCTGGTGATGGCATGGGGGGTGGGTGGGAGGCTTTGCCCCCTCCTCCATCCACGGTGGCATTTTGACTTCCCCATTGCAGCCCAACCCACCCCTCATCTCAGGGGGAAATGTCCTCCCCCACCACCCCACCCAAACCACCACCGGGCGGGGCGGGGATGGAGAGGTTCTTGTAAAAGTGACAGGATGGCGAGGACGAAAGTAATCAACGCCCCCGCTGACCTTTCTTTCCCCCCCCCATTTTTTTCCCCTCCAACGTTATACATGCCCGGGCTAATACACTTGAGCCCAGCTGCCTGGCAGCTGACCCTCCCAGGCCCCCTTGCTGACAAAAGGCCTATCTTCTCTCCACCTAAATGATTTAAATTCTAATCAAACATCATTTATAGTGCATCTCGCCTGGCCCCGTCTCCTGGGAACGGTTCCCACGTGAGCCGTTGCCAAGGCAACCAGGGGGGTCTCATTTCAGAAATGTCAGATTGCGTTATTGTCTTCACACTTCTCTTGATAACCTGGTCTCTCTCTCTCTCTCTCTCTCTTTTTTTTTTCTTCCCCCCACCCTCTTCCTTCCCTCCTTCGTCTAACCGGTTTTCCGCTCCCTTCCCATCTTTCCATCCCAGGAGGAAGATGACCAGCTGGGTGAGATGACCTGCTTCCTTTCCTCCACTCTGTCTCTGTTGTCGCCATCCTTTTACACACCAGTGTGCGATGCACACACACACACACACACAAACACACAAGGTCTCCGGGTCCACCCCTGTTGCTGACACAGCCCCTCCCATCCTGCTTTTTTTGGGGGGGGGGCTGGAATTGTGTGTGTGTGTGTTTGTGTGTGTGTGTTGGTGGTGGTCATTTCATTTCCCTCGGTATGAAAATGAGACTTTTTTTGGCTGTGATGAAGAGACACACAGTTTGTTTCGTTTCGGACAAATCTCTCTCGGGACCGGGGCTGTTAGGAGATGGCTAGTTTTTTTTTTGGGGGGGGGGGGCGATGGAGTCTGTCTGTTGCATCCCACCCTCCTCCATTTTGGAGATGAGACCTTGGGAGAAGAGGGGGCTTGGAGCAGGAAAGGCTGCAGGCGATTTATTTCTCGAAATGCCGAGATGCGGGAAGGAAATTATTCTTTTTTTTTTTAAGAAGAAAAAAAAAGACTAGTCATAGAAAATGGAATTCTTCCTTTGCAGTAAAGGCCAAAGTGTTGTGTGTGGGACCTGGAGAGGATTTTTTTCCCCCGTCTCTCAAGGTCCCCTGTGCAACTATATGGTTAGCCCCACTTTTTGAAATCGGCTTCATGTAATTTTGGACAACAAATGATATTTAATTTCCTCCAATAATCCTTCCTCCCTCCCTCCTTTTTCTTCCTCTGTCCTTCTTCCTTTCACCTTCCTTCCTTTCCTCCCTACCTTCCTCCATCCCTCTTTCTTCCTCTGTCCTTTCTTCCTTTCACCTTCCTTCCTTTCTCCCTACCTTCCTCCATCCCTCTTTCTTTCTGTCCTTCTCCTTTCACCTTCCTTCCTTTCCTACCTCCTCCATCCCTCTTTCTTCCTTTGTCCCTTTCTTCCTTTCACCTTCCTTCCTTTCTCCCTACCTTCCTTCATCCCTTTCTTCATTTCTCCTTCTCTTACTCACTCATTCATTCACTCACTCCCTTAAATTAAACTCAGCTTTCAATGTCTTTATGAACATGTCCAGTTGGGTTGTTTTCCTAGCACCTATCAGAAACAATTTCCTCATTGCCTTTTTCTAAGATATTTTTCAGCTAATCCACCTGGCAGGAATTTCCTTGTGGTCTCCCATCTAAAACTAACCAGGTATATGGCTTCTTTAGGAGCTGACTGGCGGTGAATGAAATGTCGAAACACAGAACGAGGCAGCAAGTTAACTCAAAGGTGGTTTTTCAAAAGGCAAGTGGAAGAAGAAGAGGAGGAGGAGGAGGAGGAGAAGAAGAAGAAGAAGAGGGGGAGGAAGAGGAGAAGAAAAAGAGGAGGAGGGGGAGAAGAAGAAGAAGAAGAGGGGAGGAGGAGGAGGAGAAGAAGAAGAGGGGGAGAAGGAGGAGAAGAAGTAGGGGAGGTGAAGGAGGAAGACGAGGAGAAGAAGAAGAAAAAGAGAGGGGAATAGGGGGAGGAGGAGGAGGAGAAGAGAATGAGGGGGAACAGGAGGAGGAGAAGAAGACGAAGAAGGCGGGAGGAGGAGGAGAAGGAAAAGGGAGGAGGAAGAGGAGAAGAAGAATAGGGGGGGAGGAGAAGACGATGATGAGGGGGAGGAGGAGGAGGGGAGGAGGAGGAGGAGAAGAAGAAGAAGAGAGAAGAAGAAGAAGAAGAGGGGGAATGAGGAGGAGAGGAAGGAGGAGGAGGAGGGGAAGAAGAAGAAGAAGAGGGGGAGGAGAAGAAGAAGAGTGGGAGGAGGAGGAGAAGAAGAAGGAGGAGGAAGAGGAGAAGAAAAAAGAGGAGGGGGAGAAGAAGAAGAGGGGAGGAGGAGGAGAAGAAGAAGAGGGGGAGAAGGAGGAGAAGTAGGGGAGGTGAAGGAGGAGGACGAGGAGAAGAAGAAAAAGAGGGGGGAATAGGAGGAGGAGGAGGAAAAGACAATGAGGGGGAGCAGGAGGAGGAGGAGAAGAAGATGAAGAAGGTGGGAGGAGGAGGAGAAGAAGGAGAAGGGGAGGAGGAGGAGGAGAAGAAGAAGAAGCGGGGGAGGAGGAGAAGAAGAGATGATGGGGGAGGAGGAGGAGGAGGAGGAGGAGGAGAAGAAGAAGAAGAAGAAGAAGAGAGGAAGAAGAGGAAGGGGAATGAGGAGGAGAGGAAGGAGGAGGAGGAGGAGGAGGAGGAGGAGGAGGAGGGAGGAGGAGGAGAAGAGAAGAAGGAAGAGAAGGAGGAAGAGAAGAAGAAGAAGAAGAAGAAGAAGAAGAAGAGAAGAAGAAGAAGAAGAAGAAGAAGAAGAAGAAGAAGAAGAAGAAGAAGAAGAAGAAGAAGAAGGGGAGGGGAAGGAGGAGGAGGAGATTATTGTTTCTGGCCAGAACTGATGAAGCTTCTTGGATGAGAAGCAAAACATCTTCTTCTTTTTTCCCCAAGGAAAAAAAAAAATCCAGTTTTTTTTTGAGGCAACTATGACCCGGATGACTGAGCATCTCCACATACATTTTAGAGAAATGTTGACTGCATCTCAAGAGCCAAGGTCATTGATGGTCCAACAAGCCAACGAGGTGATAACAAAGCTTTCAAGTGTTTGACTGTTTGCAACAGATAGCACGGCCTGAAAAGAATCCATTAAAGCTCAATTCATCCGATTCATGTTTCACCAACAGAATATAAAGAAAGGAAAAATGGGGCCTATTTCTCATGCGTGGTGGTTATACATACAGACACATTCCTAAGGGGGCTTTCCCTTGGTTTTCCTATAAAGAATCATTATTGATGGGGAGCAGGGAAAGAACCAAGACCTTTTATTTAATTAAACGCAAAAACAAAGCGAGAAACTCCAAAATTATTCTCTCTCCAAACAGAGGCATCTGCAATCCCTCCCCACAAAAACGGCATTGTTGACTTCAATCAAGACTGCCATTTTGACCTTTTTTTAAAAAAAAAAACACCCTGGGCAGCCCTGTTTTGACCGAGGAATTTAAATCAGATATTTTAATTTATCTTTAAACATTAAGGACATTTAATTCGATTTAAAAAAAAAATAAAAATAAAATAGGTGTAAATAACCTGCGGTTCGATTCACAGTCCAAGGGGTGGAAACTTTTAATAATTCAAGCCCTAACCGAGGAGCTAAGAATGATTAAAAGTAGCATCTGAGAAAATATAAGCCGTTCAAGCAGGACGGTTTTCTGTAAAATTAGGGCGTTTTGGTCTGATAAATTCAATATTTCCAGATTTTGAGGAAGCCCTTTAGGTATCGCTCCGAGGGCTCCAATATTCAAGATGCTCCTGAATTCATCTGATGGCACAGAATGTTGAGTGTGTTAGATTCAGCAAGCTTTTTACGGAATATAGAATAACAGAGTTGGGAGGGACCCTGGAGGTCTTCTAGTCCAACCCCATGATTGAGCAGGAAACCCTATACCTATGCCATTCTGTCCAGTCTCTTCATGACCACCTCCAGTGATGGAGCCCTCACAACTTCTCTACTTGAGTTTGAGTCAACAGCATCACGAAGAACAAAATATTCTGAGTTCAGAATAGCTGAGTTGGGAGGGACCTCGGGAGGTCTTCTGGTCCAACCCCCCTAATCAACAGGAGACCTATAACCAGGGGTGGGCTTCAAAAATTTTAGCAAGGGGTTCTCTGCCTGGTTGCTGGGTGGGTGTGGCCACGGTGGGCGTGGCCTAGTTGGCCTCCTGCACCACGATGGGACGTTTTTGCCCTTCCCAGGCTCCAGAGGCTTTTCTTGAACCTCCGGGAGGGTGAAAACAGCCTCCCCAGGCTCCGGAGGCCCCCTGGAGGCCAGAAACAGGCCCATTTTCCGGCCTTCCTGAAACTTCCGGTAGGCCCGTTTTTCACCCTCCCCAAGACTCCGCACATACCTGCATCCAAAACGGGCCGCGTGGGGACTCCTGGGAGGGGCAGGGTGGGCGGGGTGAGGTGGGGCCAGCCAGGAATGGGATTTAGGGGTTCTCTGAACTGCACAGAATCTTAGCTAGAGGTTCTCCCGAACTCCTGCGAACCCCCAGCAACCTACCCCTGCTTATACCATTCTGGACAAATGGTTGTTCAGTCTCCAATGTTGGAGCACCCAGAACTTCTGGAGTCAAACCTTTGCACTGATTTAATTGTTTTGGTTTTTTTAAATTTGATTTATATGCCACCCTTCTCCGGAGACTCAGGGGCGGCTTACAATGCGCTAAGCAATAGTCTTCATCCTTTTTGTATATTTATACAAAGTCAGCTTATTGCCCCCACAAACTGGGTCCTCATTTCACCTACCTTAGAAAGGATGGAAGGCTGAGTCAACCTTGAGCCTGGTGAGATTCGAACTTACAGTAATTGCAGACAGCTGGTGTTAATCACAATGCTATCAGTCTGCTGAGCCACCAGGCCCCGTGTGTCCCGTCAGGGATTGTTCCGTCAGGAAGGTTCTCCTTAATTCCAGGTTTTAGTTTAGTTTAGTTAGTTTATTTGATTTATATCTTGCTTCTCTCCTTGATGAGTTTCCATCCGTTGCTTCTTGTCCTGCCTTCAGGTGCTTTGGAGAAAAGGTTGACCCCCCTCTTCTCTTTGTGGCAGCCCCTGAGATACTGGAACGCTGCTATCTTATCACCGCCGAGACCTTCTTTTAATTAAACTAGACATACCCACTTCCTGCCTGCAAGTCTACAGAGAAAACCCATCTATGTCCCATCTTCTTCAGTTGAGAACGGGATTGTCTTGTTTCTGATGGAACGTGAGCCACCCAGATGACTTTTCCCTTGCCTAGGCCCTTTCCTAGGAAAAAAAATAAAATAAATAAACCCTTCCTGGCCCAGGCAGTTAATATTTAACTGAATCAAGAGCCATAAATATGGAAAATGGGACTTTTAATTAAATAAGCAGCTTTTTAAAAGGCCCTAGGGCCAGAGTGGCTTTTGTTTAAATATGATTGATTGGACACTTCGTTCGCTTCTGCTTGTTAAAAAGCCCAAGGAGGAAGGCTGGTGGGGTCTGGTTTGCCTCCATCTGCCTGGCTGCTAATAGGGGAGAAGCTTCAAGGTGGAAAAGGGTAATTTCAAGAGGAAAGGTGAACGTCTCCCTGCTGTCCTGCTTAGCTCTCCTCTGAGGAGGAGGAGGAGGAGGAGGAGGAGGAGGAGGAGGAGGAGGAGGAGGAGGAGGAGGAGGAGGAGGAGGAGGAGAGCTCCGTTGAACGGGGCTTGAGATGAGATGTGGCCCAGAAGATGGGGATGAATGTTCAATCAATCAATCAGTCAAATCTATGAGACCCAGACAGTTGAGGGCAATATGCTGATTCTGTAAAACCGCTTAGGAAGAGCTGTAAGAGGGTATGTAAGTCTAAGTGCTGTTGCTCTCTCATCTATGTCTGTCTGTCTACCTACCTACCTACCTACCTACCTACCTACCTACCTACCTACCTACCTATCTATCTCCATCCATCCATCCATATTATCTCTCATCTCTATTATGTCTGTCCATCCATATCATCTCATCTCTATCATCTATCTATCTATCTATCTATCTATCTATCTATCTATCTATCTATCTATCTATCTATCCTATTTATTCTATCTCTATCATCTTTTTTACTATCTACCTACTTACCTACTTACCTATATCTGTCTCCATCCATCCATCCATGTGTCCATCCATATCATATCATATCATCTCTATCATCTTTTTTATATATACTATCTATTCTATCTCTATCTTTATCTATTTATCTATTTATCTATTTATCTATTTATCTATTTATCTATTTATCTATTTATCTATTTATCTATTTATCTATTTATCTATCTATCTATCTATCTATCTATCTATCTATCTATCTATCTATCTATCTATCTATCTATCTATCTATCTATCTATCCATCCTCTCTCCATGAATGTTATGCAGTTTTTCTACAAGTTCCCTCTAATGTGGATCCAGCCTCTAGGATTCTAGAAACACAGACATGGGCCCTAATTGATCCCTTGTTTACCCCTGGGTAACAAGACAAACGCAACTGGTTCTGAGAGCTTCATTTAAACAAGATTTCATTTTGCATCTTGAATGTATAAGTGCCGCTGGTGGCGAAGAGCCGGAGGGCCTCGTTCCAGTGGGACTGCATCATGGCCTGGAACTGGCTGACCATCTCAGTCCACTGAGCCTCCAGGTGCCGGTACCCGGCCTTGCATTCCTGCAGGTCTTCCCTCTGCTTGGAAAGCCTATGCTCCTAGTCCTCAGTGAGGTGCTTCTGCTGAGCCTCCTTCTCGGCCAGATCC